GTTTTCTTCTGGTGCTGCTTTTCTCTGGAATAAAAATATGATATCTTAAGTAAAATTCTTTTCAAAAAACTGAAAAAAAGATATTTTAGAAAGTTTTTCCAGCTCTTGGTTCCAGGGTTGGATTTTCTTTCCAGCACATTATGCAAATAATTCACTTTACAGAGGGAGATCCAGAAACCCTAAACATGAATGTTCCAGAGTTTATTCGTTTAAGAAAAATGAAAGATCGGGCATGTTTTGTTAAAAGAAGTACAACGAACTGGAGAGAGGGTGGCTTTTATTAAAGCTCTGTTGCGTCTTGGAGAATGTTATCACCACTTAGCATCCTCCGCCTCCAATCTCGGGCATTCCTTCAGTCCAGAAACACCTGGAGTGACTGGCGTTTCCTGTTCTCCCTGTTCTGGGAAGTATGAGGGACTGCCGGGAAAAGAGTACAGAGAGGGGGGACTCTTGGCCCCTGCGCAGCCATGTCAGCTGAAGCACAGGCGCCAGGCCTAGGAGTTCTTAGAAAAATAATCAGGAAGCACTTAGACACATCAAATATTAAAAGAGTCCTGATTGTGATGATAATGATGATGATTTTGGCGGTTGCAAATAGCAAAGCCTTAAGTATGAAGGAAACATGCCAGCTGGAAATACAGGCCGGTAGCAGCATTAAGGATCCAGAGGACCTGCAAATAAACACGTTTTTCCTGTGCTGATTTTGTTTCTCTACTCATTATTTCAGATATGGGCAGGAGAAGGGGAAGGAGGTGGTAGGAGGTGGGCAAGGATCCACCTCAGACCTTTTCTCTTGCTTTCATGTTTTGCTTTGTTTTGTTTTTTCCCCAAGCTTTCTACTAGAAACTTCGTGAATTTTTAAACAATTAAGAATACACAAGGTGTTCACATTTTTATCCTGTGGTTTTGACTTGTTTCAAAATTCTTTTTTAGATCTACAAACGTTTCTATACCTCGGCATTTATTTATTTCATAAATTTAAATCGTGTAAAGCAGTCCCAAAATAAAGAGTGCTGAAATTGCCATCTGAATACATGGCTACAATTTGTGCCTTAGTGGGTATAGCAGGCACTCAACCAATAATTATTAAACAAATGGATTGCAAGAGAATGGCTGGATCTAACCAGAAATTAACCATATGGGTGCCCTGCGCATCTTCAAGGCTCCTATTGCTTTTACTTACCCCAATTGGACCCTCTTGAACAAAAGAGGTGAAAAGGGCTCATCGCCCAGATGACAATACAGAGAAAACTTGGATTCTTGCTGTTTAGTGACTTTACTTTCCCTTTGCCTGAATTCCCTCCTCCATTAACTAAAGTGAGATCTGCTTCTGATGTTACCGGGTAGACTGGGAGAAAATATCCTGGAGACAAAAGGGTGATTCTGATGACAGGCAAGATCTTATTGGGCAGGACCCATACACAGAACATGGAGGGGAAAGGGGTAAGGAAATGTCCAAGGGTAGGTGGCCCAAGGATCTCAAAAGTGATGCAAACTATTTTAGGAAATGGACAAAATTGTTCAGGAACTGGCACTAAACATTTTCATCTATAGGCATGGACCTAATGGATCTATCTTCTTTTTTTCTGAGACGGAATCTCACCCTGTCACCCAGGCTGGAGTGCAATGGCGCAATCTCAGCTCAAGGCATGAATCTATCTATGGATGGTGGAGACATTATCTTTGTGTCTTTATGGGCATGAGTAGATTGGGGAAAGGAAACAGAAAACTGAGAACGATGATTGGAAGAATGAAGTCCTATCTTTCAACATAATCTGGGTGTGGTGGAAAGGTTGTTCTGAAACACGACTCTGGGATAATGGATCATGTGGGTAGACAATTCTTTCCACCAAAGACTATTTTTAAAAGTTAAAATGTGTGTGTGTGTGTGTGTGTGTGTGTGCGTGCACACGCGCCTGGAGGCATTGGAGAGCTACTAAAAGAGGGAAAATGTCTGAGTCAAGATTTAGAGGAAGATGAAAACCCAAAAACATGAACCTTGCGTTGAGGGCTGCTTTTTGTCTAGAGGGCTTTGGTCAGTTCCAGAGGCAGCAAAGAAGCTAAGAAATAAATTAGCATTTTGAGAGCCTAGGAATTAGAAAATTAAATGTTGGCATCCAGGCCTCACAAGGGGAAGTCAGAGGTGAATCTTGGGCAATGCCTTTCTCATCCCCTTTGAATCCTACAGCGCTGCACCTAAAAACAGGGATGAATCATAGTGCATAAGCCCTCTTGAGGGCTGCAGCACAGATGCAAATCATTTCAGCACCTGAAACCCGATTAGAGTGATTATATATATATATATATATATATATACACACACACACACACACACACACAAATATACACACATGCGCCTACACATGCAAATATATATACATGTGGAATATGTACAGTCCACTCTTAGCCATGCCATACTACATCTAACACCTAACAAAATATAGCATGTTAACAGAAGTCAGACAAAAGTGAGATTATCATCAAAATAATCTCAAAGGGACAATCATAAGGTTCACAGCTAACTTCTCAATAGCAACAGTGGAATGCAGAATACAAAGCATTGTATCTTTCAAATACTGAAAGAAAATCCCTGCTAACTTTAGAATTCTGCCCCCAGCAAAAACAGCCTTCAAAAATAAAGGGGAAATAAATATATATTAAACAGCCAAACTGGGAGAATTTGTCACTCAACACACCCAACTCACAGTAAAGAAAATAGTAAAAGGTGTTCTCTGAGCAGAGGAAAGAAAACCAACATCGAAGCTAAAAAATACGGGAATAAAGAGAAGCCAAAATGTAAATATGTGCATAAATGTAAGTGTATATTGACAGTGTAACAAAAATCGTAATATTTGGAATTAAAACACATGACACGCATCATGTGTAAGTCTTGAATGTTGAGCCGGAAAATGGAATTTGAAAGAGATAAACTGTACTTGCATATTCTGATGTCTACATTGTCCAAGAAAAAGGTGAAATTGCCAATTACTATTGGTGCTGAGAAGCCAAAAAAATGCATGCTGTATAATGTATTCCGGTAATCCATAAGGAAATAATTAAAGCCTATGTAACTTCTAAGCCAAAAAAGGGAAAGAAGAAATCATATACTCAGTCCATTCAAAGGTGGGCCAGAAATAAAGAAAAATAGAATTTGAAACACATAGAACCAATGGAAATGTTAAAAATTAAATACATCAGTAATTTCATTTAATGGAAAGAATCCAATTAAAAGACAGAGATTATCAAGCTGGATTGAAAAATACAACTATGTGCCTTTTGCAAGTGACACAAGTAAAACACAGAATGGATATGTGCCACAAAAACACTTCCAAAAGAAAGCTGACAAGAATATATTAGTCCCAAACGAAGTAGACCTTTAGGCAATAGGCATTCTTAGAGATAAAGAAGAACACTTCATCATTAGACAGCTTCGATTTGTCAAACAAAGTTAACAGTTCTAAATCTGCATTTATCAAACACATGTCCTGATACTGTAGAAGCACCGACTGGCAGAATCGAATGAAAAGATTGTTAAAGCCATAACGTAATAGAAAATGTTAACACTCTTTTAAATAAGGTAAACTGGTTAAAAAAATAAGAAAGATATAGAAAATTTCAACTGTAAAATTAACCAAGTGACCTAATGGACATATATAGAATACTGTATTTAAAAACTGTAAAATAGACTTAATTTTAAAGACACAAGTAATTAAAATGAATATATAAAATAAAGCTAGAAATCAATAAGAATATAACCAGAAAATCTTACAATTTAAAATTAAGAAATACATTTCTAAATAACTAATAGTTTAGAGAAGAAATAAAAACAAAAAATTAGGAAGTATTTTGAACTGCATGATAAAAATTCTAGATATCAAATTTATAAATGCATTTATAGTCTTCTAAGGAGGAAATGTATCGATTTCAATGCATTTTTTGCTATTTACCAATTTAAAACTGGACAAATATTAGGATTCGAGATTTCAAAAACATAAAAGCATGGAATGGCCCTTAAATTATGATGTAACCAGAACCCAGCACCCACCACTTACCCAAAGGTTCCCTATGGGTCGGGGTTGGGGGGTTCCTCACTATAGTTTCTTCCATGGGCTCCAGAAAAATGTTAGTAAAAAGGGGTCCTGATCCAGATCCCAAGAGAGGGTTCTTGGATCTTGCAAAAGGAAAAATCCAGGGCAAGTCCACAGGGTAAAGTGAAAGCAAGTTTATCAAGAAAGAAAAGAAATGAAAGATTAGCTACTCCATAGACAGAGCAGCCCCAAGGGCTGCTGGTTTTCCATTTTTGTGATTATTCCTTAATTATATGCACTAAGGGGTGGATTATTCATGTCTCTCCTTTTCAGACTATGTAGGGTAACTTCCTGACATTGCCATGGCAGTTGTAAACTGTCATGGGGCTGGTGGGAGGGTAACACTGAGGTCTACCAGATGTCTTGCTTGTCGCCATTGTGGTTTCGGTGGGTTTTGGCCAGCTTCTTTACTACAACCTGTTCTATCAGCAAGGTCTTTAAGACCCGTACTTTGTGCCAACCTGTTCTATCAGCAAGGTCTTTAAGACCTGTACCTTGTGCCAACCTGTTCTATCAGCAAGGTCTTCAAGACCTGTACTTTGTGCCAACCTGTTCTATCAGCAAGGTCTTCGAGACCTGTATCTTGTGCGAACCTGCTATCTCGTCCTGTGACTTAGAATGCTTTCAGTCGCCTTTCAGGAGTATCTTCTTCCCTGAAGCTTTCCTTCTCTTCCTTAGTGGGCCTGTGGTTCTCCTGTGACGACACCTGCCACACCATGTAGGACATTTCTCTTCACTTTTTTGGATCCTACAGAACAGTCTGTTCCTCTGGGCAGGGAACCCTTCTGACTTATCTTTCCGTCTTTAGAGCTTTAATCAGTGCCTGTCACATGGTGGGGGGTCTAAAAACATTTATCAATACATGAAAAAAAAAGCTGGAATAGTGACTTTATCCTTTTTTGTGTTACCCAGGTGGATAATGAACAACTGAATTTAGAGGACGAAGACACTGCAGGCATCGACGCCGCCAAACTGAGCAATTTCATTGAGATCAACAGCCTCCACATGGTGACAGAGTACAATCCTGTGGTAAACAGTATTTCCCGTCCCCCGCCCCTTCGGAGCCTGAGTCAGGGAAGGTACCGGTCTTCACGCAGAGGTCTCTTCCTCCCAGAATTCCGGTTCTTAAACCAATCATGTCAGGAACTGCCATTCATTGAACACCTACTATATTGTTCATGTTGCTATCCTTGCTGCACCTTTATGAGATTGGACTTGTCCCTAAAGAAACAGAGAAAAGTTAAATGAACCATCACACTGCTAGCAAGGAAGAGAACCAGCATGCAAAGTTAAGTTGACTGACTCAAGGCCAGGGGCAGTGGCTCTCAACTGTAATGCCAGCCCTGGGGGAGGCCGAGGCCTCAGGATCGAGTGAGCCCAGGAGTTTGAGAATAGCCTGGGCAACATACCCAGACCTTGTCTCTACAAAAACAAATTTTAATCAGCCAGGTATGGTGGTGTGTGCCAAAAATAAACTAAAAGTAAGTGAAAGACAAACAAAAAGAGTTCAATGAAGCCCAGTGGTCATACGTTTGGATGTCACAGCAGTGTAAAGTTTCTGTAATTGTTTCCAAACACCCATTTCATTTCCTGTTACTTGTGGACCAGTGACGAACAGTTCCTGGTCTGGCAGCAGCTGCGAACCACGCTTTGACTAACGCATCCCGACACCCTCGCCATGCCTCAGCTTCTCTCCCAGTGCGTCTTCCTCTGGAGTTGCATGCTGCGTGCAGTCTGGGTAAAGGTGATGCTCCACCTCTCCTGATCACCGTCCGGCCTTCTAACTCTCTCTGTAGCCTACAGCGTAGTCTATAGAATTATCTTATGTGTCCTGTCCTTTATTTTCCCTGACACGGATGATAGAATCTCACAGAGTATTAATTTCTAGTGATCTACATCACCTCAAAATGCTGTGCCTTCTGTTCTCCAGTGACAGTACTTTACAGGCATGGTATGATTTTCGAGAACTTAAAAAGCCCTTTCATCCTCAGTTTCTCATTTAATTCTCACATCGATTTTTTTTCTTTTTTTGAGGTAAAAGAGAGGAAATTATTGTGTCCATTTTATAAAGGAGAACATTCCAGATCCAAGTGATGACATCATTCAAGGTCACATAATGAGTAAATAGACAAGGCATCATTTAAGAAGTAAAAGCAACTGTGGTGCATTAGCACATATCGCCTACTTCCATTTCACAGTAGACGAAATGGGAGTCAGAAAATTTAAGTAACTTCCTCAAAGCCTATTGCTAATCATTTCAGCTTCAAAGGCACCCTACGTAATTGCCCTTGCTTTTGTTTTGTTTTGTTTTGTTTTGTTTTGTTTTGTTTTGTTTTGTTTTTGAGACGGAGTTTCGCTCCTGTTACCCAGGCTGGAGTGCAATGGCGCGATCTCGGCTCACCGCAACCTCCGCCTCCTGGGTTCAGGCGATTCTCCTGCCTCAGCCTCCTGAGTAGCTGGGATTACAGGCACGCGCCACCGTGCCCAGCTAATTTTTTGTATTTTTAGTAGAGACGGGGTTTCACCATGTTGACCAGGATGGTCTCGATCTCTTGACCTCGTGATCCACCCGCCTCGGCCTCCCAAAGTGCTGGGATTACAGGCTTGAGCCACCGCGCCAGGCCTGTCCTTGCTTTTTTATGACTGGTGCCTGTGACTGAATCCTCTGGTTTGTCTATTGCCCTACACTGCCTTCGATAGAAAACACCTCTTTTCTTGTTGACTAAATTCTGGCCCACCTCTAACACCATCTTTATCTCTGTGGAGTTGGTGACTGTTTGTACTTCTGCCAAGACTCCAAACACATAAGCCTCTGGGCTGTTGGCAGTAATAATGAAAAAGGCATTCTTCTGCATGTGGGGCCAGAAAAGATGATTTTATTGTCCCTGAGCTATGGCCCCCATGTCCTGGCATTTTGCAAGCTAGCTCAGGCAGGGGCAAGAACTGACCTTCCTGGTTTCTTATGCCTGATCTGTCTCTCAATTTGCAGAGCAATGACATACCTTTTTAAAGTTCCATGTGATTAGTGAAGGCAGATTATATCAAGAAAAAAATCAGTAAGCATGTCTTTAAAGAAGCAAGTTCAATTTTTATTGCTACTTTTTTTATTTTCTGAAAGTAATATTTCTCTCATTTGGAGAACTGCCAGTTCTACTCTAGCTATTTCTCATCTGCCTCTAGTGCAAACGTATGCACCAGCAGCAACTGGGCAGAAAATCCCAGCCATGTACTTGACCTGCCATGCACTTTTAATCCACACACTCAGTACCTAGCATCGAGGTGAAATAATCAGGCTGTGTCTGTTAGGATTAGACTAATCCGTGCTGCTATGGCCAGTCCCTTCTGCTAAGATAACTGTACCTTTTGACATCTTCGCTTTTATTTCTTTACTCTTCCCAAGAATTATCCTCCATCTTATCTGTAGAATAGCGAATGAATGCTCTAAATTTAAGTAGCAGGATTTAGTAACGCAAGAGTAAATAATGTACCATCCAATCTCCGAAACGTAAAATCTAAAACTTGATTTTAAACTTCATGGAAAAATCTTTAGGAAAGGACCCATTGTGCCCTCCTTGCCTACATATTACCCGCGCCCGCCCCCGCAGCCAAAAGAGCTGGGGAACCTCTACAGAAGTGTGTAACTTCAGGGAGAATTCTACCTAGCTGCTCCCTTCCCCATCCTCCTAAAGACCCTGCCCAAAGGTCGGTTAACCCACCGTGTTCTCTCTTCCTGTGTACACACTAGTTCGTAGCAGTGCTTTCTGCATTTAGGGGAGGTGAAAAGAAATAAGACTGGTTTGAAGGAGACTTGCAACATTATTTCAGGACAGTGAAATGAAGGGAACCAGTGCCATGGACTCCCTTTTTCCTCTCCTCACTCTGACTGGTGGCTGTTCCACTCCTCTAAATCATTGATAACTTCATGGGAAATCACCTTCTCTAATCTGCAAAACAAGGTCAATGATTCTGGTCTCCTGAAGAGCTCGCCTTCTGCTAACCTTTGGTACACTGTTTAACCACATTTGGGATTAAATTGGTTTATATGGGGTTTTGCTATCCACTGTGCATGACGCAGTCCATCCTGATGGTCAAGAGCACGGACTCCAGAGCCAGACCACCTGCGTATGAATCCCAGTCTGCCATTTATTTGACTTTGGGAGAATTACTTAGTCTACCTGTGCCTCGATTTCCTCATTTGAAAGAGTGGGACTTTGAAGATTATGATACTTATTATATGTTAAGAGTTGAGGACAGTACCTTCCACATAATAAACACTCAATAACTATGAACTACTAATAGTACTCGAAGGCTACATTTATTTATTTATTTATTTATTTTGAGACTGAGTCTTGCTCTTGTTACCCAGGCTGGAGTGCAATGGCGTGATCTCGGCTCACTGCAACCTCCGCCTCCTGGGTTCAGGCAATTCTCCTGCCTCAGCCTCCTGAGTAGCTGGGATTACAGGCACGCACCACCATGCCCAGCTAATTTTTTGTATTTTTAGTAGAGACGGGGTTTCACTATGTTGACCGGGATGGTCTCGATCTCTTGATCTCATGATCCACCCTCCATATGTTACATAGTGTATTTGTTGTCTATTGCTAACAAACAGATCACTCCAAATCATAGGAGTTTCAAATGAAAAAACTTTGATAATCTCATGCAGTTTCTGTAGGTCACCCAATGAGGGGAGGCTAGGGCTGGGTGCTTCTGGTTTGGGGTCTCTGGGGAGGTTGCCGTCATTGGTCAGGGCTGCAGTCATCTGAAGGCTTGTCTGGAGCTGGGGATCTGCTTCCAAGATGGCTCCTCCATATGACTGGTTAGTCAGTGCTGGCTGCTAGTAGAAGGCCTTACTTCCTGGCCATGTGTTTCTCCTGAGAGGACTGCTTAATGCCCCACATTGGGGCTGGTATTTCTCAGAGTGAGAGATGCTAAGAGAGAGAAGATCAGAGACCTAATATCTTTTAAGACTTCACCTTGGGCTGGGCGTGGTGGCTCACGCCTGTAATCCTAGCTCTTTGGGAGGCCAAGGTGGGGGGATTACCTGAGATCAGGAGTTCAAGACCAGCCTGGCCATCATGGTGAAACCCCATATTTAAAAAAAAAAAAAAAAGAAGACTTCACCTTGGGAGTCACACTCCATCATTTCTGCAACATTGTCTCACTCAGTTCAGCGCCATTCAGTGTGAGAAGGAAGGATCTACACAGTTGCATGAAAACAAGATGGTGAGACTGACTGGGAGGCATCTTGGAAGCTAGTTCCATTTGTGTCACCAGTGGCCAGCTCTCATCTATGTTTCGGTCTACCGTTTCACTCCCTCCCAGCCACTAAGGCGTTCTTCCTCTCTCTCTCACTCTACTGTAACACGTTTCGACTTGCCAGACTGCAATTGGGCTATTCAACAGTGTCATTCAGATTCATCTTCTCCTGATAATGAACAAGGCCTCTCCAGAGTATGAAGAGAACATGCAGAGATACCAGAAGGCAGCCAAGCTCTTCCAGGGGAAGGTAAGGCCAGAATGGGAGTATCCTATTGTATACACACCACCAGGGCACTAGGAAGAGGGAGGTGGGGCTAGGAAGCTCCAATAAATAAGGAAAAGAGCTATGATTAGGAGATAGCAAAGCAAGAAGTAGGACACAATAAATCAGATTCTTTGAAATTAGAGATGTTGTATTTTATCATATTAAAAGCATATCTAATGATAGTGATTACCATAGTGATTACACTTCCTGTAGTGATTAAGTCTGGGTCTTTTTCTGCATTGATTGGTAGAGAGAAAATAGAGATCCAAAGAGACTGAAAACAAAATCACCTATAAGTCCCAATTTGTTTAATCCTTCCCATAATTTCTTAGAGATTTAGACCTCAGGGCTTATTTCTCATATAAAACACCCGTCAAGTACCTGGTGGCTACTGAATATCCAATGAGTATTTCTTTCTTCCCCTCTTGTCCTTTGTGAAGTTCTGCTTGATATCACTGAAATAGTCAAACTTCAACCGCTGCAAGGCTGCTCTGCCTAAGTAGTGACTGTTCTAATGAGGAAAACCAGTCACAAAATAAGCTGCCTTTCTGCTGGTTGGTTCTCTAACACTGGAAGTATTTAGTCTTACTAAAAGTAGACAATCAACTGATCAGAATATTATAAAGAATATTTCTACTTTGGGTTGAAGCTTTGATTGAATAATATAAAATAGTTTACATTTATCAAGCCCTTGCTATATGCCAAAAACTAAACAAACGTATTAATGATTTACCTCATTTAATTTCCCCCACCAAAAGCCCATTTTGCCAATGAGAAAGCTGAACCTCAGAAGAGGCTGAGTAATGTGCCCAAACACACAGCTGGAGAGTACCAGGGGCAGAATTTAAAACTTGCTCTCTGCTCCTAACCATTAGACTATACTTCCTTTCTTAGTCGCTAAAATATTCTCCATTTCTATGTTCTTACAATTAGATCAATCTGGTCAAAGGGATAAAACACCAAAGCAACACAAAATATAGGAAATTCATTTATTTAACTTATTTTAAGTTCAGGGGTGCATGTGAAGGCTTGTTGCAGAGGTGAACTGTGTCACAGGGCTTTGTTGTACAGATTATTCATCATCCACGTATAAAGCCCAGCACGTAATTGTTATCTTTTCTGCTCCTCTCCCTCCTGCCGCCCTCCAGCCCCAAGTAGACCGCAGTGTCTGTTGTTTCCTTCTTTGTGTTCATGAGTTCTCATCATTTAGCTCCCGCTTGGAAGTGGGAACAGGTGGAATTTGGTTTGCTCTTCCCGCATTAGTTTGCTAAGGATAACAGCCTCCAGCTCCATCCATGTTCCCAAAAAAGACAGGATTTTGTTCTTTGTTATGGCTGCAAAAATTTTTTTTAGCTCAACACTTAAATTGCGTGGTGCAGGCCATAAATTCAGTCAGTGTAAGCTGCAACAATTACAAGGTATCTCTTTATCCCGAGGACCTCAGGTAGAACTTTTTCTTTTAAATTTCCCCAACTGCAGATTCTCTTTATTCTGGTGGACAGTGGTATGAAAGAAAATGGGAAGGTGATATCGTTTTTCAAACTAAATGAGTCTCAGCTGCCAGCACTGGCCGTTTACCGGACCCTCGATGATGAGTGGGATACACTGCCCACGGCAGAAGTTTCCGTAGAGCATGTCCAAAACTTTTGTGATGGATTTCTAAGAGGAAAACTGTTGGTAAGTGTGAGCCTGCAGGTAAGCAAGTTGTTTTCTTTCTATATCCCTTTTATTTCCTGTTGAAGAAGAATCCTTTGGGCTCAGAGAGTGGGGAGGGCCAAATGTTGGTTAATGGATACCAAGTGCAGCTAGATAGGAGGGATGTCTAGTGTTCCTTAGCACTACAGGGTGGCTGGAATTAAGAAAAATTTATTGTAGGTTTTCAAATAGCTGGAAGAGTAGATTTTGAATATTTCCAACACAAAGAGATGATAAATGTTTGAGGCGACGGATACCCTAATTATCCCGATTTGGTCATTATACATTGTATATATGTATAGAAATATCACTCTGTACTCCATAAAAATGTAATTATTATGTATCAATTAAAAATAATAAAAGCAAAATAATTAAAGTTAAAAAAAAATTATGTGTGCTCTACTGGATTTGATTAAAAGCAAAAGTGTATGAGGATATGGTGGCCAGATCACGATGCTTATTAGGATACAGTCGTGAGACTAGAGCTAGAAAAGCATTTTTGGAAAGGCCTTGCATATTCAGAGGCTAAATCTTGTACTTCAGCATTTAGTTTAAAGTATTAATGGGGAATAAATCAAACTTCATACGAAAGAGTTCATGAGATAAAAATTAAAGATGGATTTAGGACTTCCAGGAGTAATCAAACAGCTCAGTTTACGAATCCCAGAATGAACTCCAAATCTAAATATCATTGTGATGTTTTCCAGAAAGAAAATCATGAAGCAGATGAAAAGCCTCCAAAGGTGGAACTCTGACTTCTCCCTGGTACTGCATACGACCAACTGTCTACCTTATATAAAGTAAAAAGGCCCAACTCAAATCTCAGAGACACTAAACAACAGGATCACCAAGCCTGCAGACCATACACACAGACAATCACACACACACACACACAATCACACACACACACATGAGCTTCATTTTCTTTCTCAAAATCTCATTTTCTCTTCTTTCTTTTAAATGCCCTATCCTCACCCCCTACCCAATTTCCTATTGTGCATTCACACTGTGTGAGCCCATCTATAAGACCACCAGATCAAGGCTTTAACAGACTCACTGTGGTATCTCTGTGGAGAGACATTCCTAGAGAAGGATTGTCACAATTTGTCATTTAATATTAAGTTTCTATACTGCACGTGACTTACACACAATAGTTCCTGTTCTTTTAAGGTTACCTAAGGATCGAAAATCTACCTTCTTTCATAAGCAACATGTCCATCTCCAACTCAGGACCAAAAACTAAAGGATGGTTTTAAACACCTTTCTGAAATTGCCTTTTTGCCAGAAGGTGAAGGCTGTCTCCAAGCCTCCGAACCCAGCAGAAACAGACCACGTGAAAACTCCACGCTTGATTAGCATTGCCAACTCCCCGTGTAAATCAACAACCTGCATAATAAATAAAAGGCAATCATGTTATAGGAAAAGGCTGACATCTCTTTGCAGGCCAAACCTTTTGTAAATAGCTGCCCACCTAAGCAGCATGTTCCTCACTCTGCAGTGCCCGCTGTTCAGTGTCAGGCTATAAGCCATTAACATGTTATTGTTCACTCTGTGGGTGGGATGGGTGGAAAGTAGAGACCATACTGAATGAGGACGGGGACAAATGTGGCAAGGAAGCTAGGAAGCCAATTAGGTACAAGGTTGGGGAAGGGATAGGAGAAGCAGGGCACTGGAGAGTGAGGAACATGCTGAGGCTTGGATTATTGCAGGTAAGGTGTGTGATCCAGCTCCCATGGGGTGAAAGGAGAGCTTGGCTGAGTGTCTCTGGCCCACAGGGTGTTGCTGTCAACACACAGATGCTGCATTGTTCCCAGGAGGCCCTTGGCTCAGGAGGAAAGTGCCTAAGTGCTGAAGAGCTGAAAAACCGCAGATGTACCTAAGGACTGGTCCAAGTGAGGGACAGGGAGTGAAAGGCTCGGTTGTTTCTTTCTGTGGGGAAAACTTCACAGCCTCTGGGCAGGAGTCAGCTGCTGGCAACCACACTGTGAAAGTCCCAGTATAAGGTGTGCCCTTCAGCAACGAGACTGAGGGATTCTGTGGAGGTCACCCAGTCCATCCCAGGGCTGCAATCCAAACAGCCTCTCGCTTGAGGCTGAAACAATATTGCTAAGATAGGCACATCCCAGAAGGCTCTTTTGGTCCTGTAAATGAGAACTCTTGACATTTACGGTCAGGAAATTCTTCCTGATATCCAGCTGAGGTCCTCTGGTCTTGTGAGCTATTTCGTCTTGCCCACCCTTTGTGGAAATTCTTAGCAGCTTCCAGATGCCCTCCTCCAACAGCACCTTTAATCCCTTCTTGGCTGCACTGAAGCCCCTTTATCCAGCCATCTTTCCCCAGTACTCACAATCTGACTCTCATCGTTTGGTTTCTATTTCTAAATCATTTGATTTACTTTATTGTTTTTCTCTCCCCACTCTTTCCCAAATTCTTCACTTTCTTATAAAAATAGGAACCCAAACTGTAGTAGGACCCATGAGCTACATTTTGTGCTAATTTTTCTATTATTTTTCTTGAAGTGTTCCCCTCAAAAACCACATTGAGATACCATCTCACGCCAGTTAGAATGGCGATCATTAAAACATCTGGAGACCACAGATGCTGGAGAGGATGTGGAGAAATAGGAACACTTTTACACTGCTGGTGGGAGTGTAAATTAGTTCAACCATTGTGAAAGACAGTGTGGCGATTCCTCAAGGACCTAGAAATAGAAATACCATTTGACCCAGCAATCCTATTACTGGGTATGTACCCAAAAATTATAAATCATTCTAATATAAAGACACATGAACACATACGTTTATTGTGGCACTACTCACAATAGCAAAGACTTGGAACCAACCCATATGCCCATCGATGATAGACTGGATAAAGAAAATGTGGCACATATACACCATGGAATACTATGCAGCCATCAAAAAGGATTAGTGCATGTCCTTTGCAGGGATGTAGATAAAGCTGGAAACCATCATTTTCAGCAAACTGATACAAGAACAGAAAACCAAACGTTGCATGTTCTCACTCCTAAGTGGGTGTTGAACAATGGAAACACGTGGACACAGGAAGGGGAATGTCACACACTGGGGCCTAACGGGGAATGGGGGGCTAGGGGAGGAATAGCAGAGTTGGAGAGATAAGGGAGGGTTAGCATTAGGAGAAATACCTAATGTAGATGATGGGGTGATGGATGCAGCAAACCACCACGACACGTGTATACCTACGTAACAAACCTGCATGTTCTGCACATGTGCCTCAGAACTTAAAGCATAATAATAATTTTTAAAATGCGTGTAAGAACGCTATAGGAACAAGAGAATGTGTGCATGTGATTATATGGAATGAACGTAGCAGCATAAAAAAGCCATATCCACACTCTGATTGAAACAACTATAAAAGCAGCTCGCAGTATCAATTGAAAGACAGCGCACAAAGTGAAAATCAGTCTGTGAAAGGGGACAGATAGGTAGCATTTTCCTTTTCATCTCAAAATTGCATTTAGTGTTGATGTTACAGTACTGTTTTAAAATAAGGAAGATTGTATCTTAAAATAGATTAAATAAAAGTCATAATCAGTACTGACCACATGGGTCTTAACATCTTGACAAGGCATTTCTCTACTTGCTGGCATTCAGTAGCCATTTTACCATGTTATTTTGTATGCTTAGTTGTGTGTGTATGCTATTGAATTGAATTATTCCTTCTCATCTTGTGCTTCTTCATAACTGCCAGTTATTTTGGCTGGTCTTCTTCATAAACATTCATGTTCTTTTTAGCTCTGGGGACTCATGACCAAAGAATGGGGCTTCAGAGAGAAGAAATTTCTAAAGGTTTTCATTCATTTGTTAAAAATAAGATCTCAGAAGCATCTGCATTTTTTTCTCTGAATAATCTCTTCCCAGGTCTACATCCATTTCCTCAGGGCTATGTTATTGTTGAGATATCTAGATACATCTTAGCTAGTTTTTATTGTAGAATCACTCATTGGCCCTTACTGACAAGACTACCACACTTTTTCTTTAGAGTATGAAGGAAGTGATAATGTTACACAATATACATTTGAAAAAGATGGCCAGGCACCGTGGCTCACACCTGTAATCCCAGCATTTTGGGAGGCCAAGGCAGGCAGATCACAAGGTCAAGAGTTGAGACCATCCTGGCCAACATGGTGAAACCCTGTGTCTACTAAAAATACAAAAATTAGCTGGGCGTGGTGGTGCACGCCTGTAGTCCCAGCTACTCAGGAGGCTGAGGCAGGAGCATTGCTTGAACCCAGGAGGTGGAGGTTGCAGTGAGCTGAGATCACGCCGCTGCACTCCAGCCTGGCTCCTGGTGATGGAGCGAAACTCTGTCTCAAAAAAAAGAAAGAAAGAAGAAAAGAAAAAGATGTTAACATATTTGGAAGACGATGATGGAAGGAGAGGGACTGAAGCAGGACTCAAAGAAATGACTGGAAAGTTTGGGTCTGAGTCTCACTTCTTCTATGTGTGTGCCTCTGTGACACTGGAAAAACTACTTTTATCTTTGAACTTTGGTTTACTTAGGGTAATGTAGTAATTCTTAGGATTGCTTGAGACCCCAGGGTGATAATCCATATTAAGTAAAGTTTGTCTATTGCTTTTCTTTTACGTTAATACTACATTGCATCTAAACAGTCATTTCTGTAATTGTCAGAACTTACGGGAAGGCAGAGGCTTCTTTCAGGCTATTTCTTTGAGGCTGAAAAAGTATTTGAGGTAACAGTTTTTAAATGTAGGCTTTATTGTATTCTAGATATGGGGAGACCAACGGATGAAAAAAGATTGCCATTTGAAAGATAGTTTATTGCTCACAGTCCCCAAGAGAAAGAAGCATGACAGCATGCTGTGCAGAGCCACATGGGGGAGCACCTGGGGTTAATCAGAAGGTAGAAGGAGTAAGGAGAAAATGACAAGAGCCTTTATTATCGTTTTTATGGGGAGAAAGGGGAGATAGCTAGGAGGGTAAGGAGGCTTAGGATTGGCTGGTTTTGATAATTTCAGTAGGCTCTGTGGCATAGGAGCTGTCCCTTGTTGCCTGGAACCTGGCTCTGGGTTGAGTAGGGCTGGGTGGTAGCCCAGCATGTGATAGTCCAGTAAGGACACAGCTGGAGTATGGACTCTGAATCAGTTGGTTTGTATATAAAAGCTCTACTAGCAGGTGAGTTCATTACTATCTCTAGGAATTGCCCATCTCTAGGAGGAAGGGGCAGTCTCTCCAGGGTAAGCAAAGCCCCAGATGTCAAAGCATTAGAAATACATAGATAGTAAAATAGCTCTGACATCCATTTGCCATGGAGTCCCTCTCCTACCACCTATTGGGTCATGCCCGAAGGAAAGGCTGCCTTCATCAGGCCCATCGTAAAACACATATACCTTGAGCAGCCATGAGTAGGACGAGGGCTATGCAGCATATTGAGAGAGAGAGAGAGCAGTTTATTTATATGCTCATTCATTCATTTAAATATTTATTAAACAACTATAAGTGTGCCAGGGAAAACTGCCCCCTGAGAGAGAGAGCAATTGGTGATGATTGGATGATGAGCTGTAGAACAGAGACATTTCAGTTGTAGTGACAACGGGCAACATGGAAGCCACCAGAATGGTTCTGGGCCATGGACAGAATGCAGCCAAATAGGAAAAGCAATACACAGGGAAGAGGTGTGTTGTGGAGGGGTCTGGGCAGGAGGCTGGCCACGGGCTGAGGGGGCCCCACAGCTGGGGGAGGAGGAGCCACAAAGGAAACAGTCCACAACCATCATGAGCAAACTTTATTTCACAATTGAATTTGGAACCATTATTTCACCTTTCTGAAAATATCTTGTTTTCTAAACAGAGAAAAGTAAGACAGGAAGTGGGAAGGATCTGACCCATGGCCCCTAATTGCAGAAACCTTACATGAAGAGGCCCAGAGAACAGGAAAAGGAGGAAGTTAAACATCAACACCTTTTGAGTGTTGAACCTTTGGAGAAAAGGTACTCTGGAAATCAGAGAAGCAAGTGAATTTCAAAATCAGACCTCTACATTTGAAGGTGATTCGCCCTCATTCAATTCACTGCTAAGACAGGTCTCTCTTTTCTTTCTGTTTTGGAACAAGGTCGTTGTTTTTGTGGGCTTGACAGTGAAATATCTGAGCCATACTAGGGATAGAAGGACATGGGTGAGTAAAGGATGAGGGCATTAGGCCACTTCTATAGGTTATGAAAAGTGGTGTGGCATCCAGCCATTAATGTTTAATTATCCAAACAATTGCACTAAATCTTAATAGCAGAATTTAATTTCTGAATTAGCCCACTTGTCTTGAAATGGTAATATGGTGTTAGCCTAAAATTAAAGACATAAACATAGAGCATGTTTGACATAATTCAAGCTGTGGCGAAGTAAAAATTTTAAAATTTGCATTTTATTACAAGTC